AGATGCTGCTTGCAGCTTTAATTCACTTTGCAGTTGCTGCATTTGTGTCTATTCCACTTGTATTGCAAGATTTCATTGAAACTTTGTACTCTGGGGATAATGTTCAGACTTAATTACTTTTGGGTGTAATCTGTTTCAATGAGTTGAATGCACGATTAGCTGTGCTGTTACAAATGTGACACCATACTTAATTTTCTAAATACCACAAGGTCAGACAATTGCTCAATGCTGGCTGTAAGTGGATCGATGCCCTGGAATTGCTCCTACTTGTGCAGTTGACTTGAATGGCAAATTCCACCCTCCCCAAAGCTGACAGTGCATAAACTATTCGGTGCATGTCAAGTAATGAATGAAAACGTTTCCCCAAATGTCCACATTAAAATGGATATCTCTCACAACATGGAGGCTAAGTACAAATACAAAAGTCGTTGCTTGAAACCAGCTTGGCCAACTAATAACTTGTTCAACGGTTTCATTCTATGTGCATGTATGTAGGTGTGATCAAATAAGTTCTTGGTCTTCCTCATAAAACGTTAAATGGAAGATTTTTCTTGCACTGTTTCTCAACATAGTTCCTTCGAAGTTCAATGCACTTTGTTCATCGGTGTTCCAGTTTTCTTATTCCTTGCTGGAAGGTTTCATCTTGATAGTTTAGTTATGCCTCAACACCTTGGATGACAGTCTGAAAACTGTCTATGCAAGTGGGATTTCAGTTTAGGAAACAAGTCTAACGGTGCCAGGAAGAGTTCAAAGCCACATTCGGTTGCTGCTCCCACTGCCACCTGTGCTGTGTTTTGGATCAACAGCACACCAGTTCAGGCTTTCCTCTTTTATTGCTGCTCTTAACTGAAACACAACTCTCCATTGATTGTTTGACCCTTTTGCAAGTAGTCGATCGTGATGACTCCCTCGCTTTCCCAGAACAGAGGCCATCACCTTGCTGACTGATCCACCCACTTGAACTTCTTGGGCGGCTGTGAACCCTTATGTGTCCATTGTTTGCTCTGCTCTTTTGATCAACCCACTTCTTTACAGTGGAATAAGGGGAGTCCTCACCAAGTGTCGTGACCATGTCTTTGTGGATTTCGTTGAGTCGTCCCCTTTTTATAGAGATACTTGATCAAAGCACGAGCTTCTGTCTGGTTCATTTTGTGATTTTCGTCTCGCCTGCTGATTTAAATGGGCACCACGTGCTAATTAATGAATACCTAAATTTGCATTTCTATAGGTAGTGACATTATAGTGTAGTTATACCCCAGAATAGGAGTTCCACATGAAGATTGTAAACTACGTTTGTATTCACATGAAAAGTCGTACAGTGTAAGATCTTCATTTTAACAAGAAGTCGAAAATATCACTTTTTACCAAAAATGACAAAAATATTCACCAAAATTAGAGAATTAAAGATATCATTACAAAATGAACAAATCTGAGAGAGGTCCACATGTAGTACCTATATATGTAATATCAAAGTAATTGCACTTGCGGTTTTTAACAAGAAATCGAAAATATCACTTTTTACCGAAAATGACAAAAATATTCACCAAAATTAGAGAATTGAAGATATCAACATGAAATGAACAAACCTAAGAGAGGTCTACCCAAGGTGCATATACACCAAGTATCAAAGCATTCAGGCTTGTAGTTTTCAAGAAGAAGTCGAAAAAGCAAAACATTGACACGGACGAGACAGACAATCACTCATATGATAAGCTCCGGTCGACAAAGTCGACAGTCGACAGCGGAGCTAAAAACCCTGCTCTACTGTAAATTGATACAAGATAGCAGATTGGCTGTTTGTTTTTGTTGCATCTCCCCCTCCTTGTCGTTAAGGGCACCAAAATACATTGTTGTGGTTCAATCTGCAAAATGTTACACGGCTGACGAAGATGCAGTTGTAGGTGAAACCTTCTTAACTACAAGTTGAAAGTACAATTGACAATGTGTATACGAACAAGAACAAGATAAAAATGGTCACATGACCAAGAGTGGTATAAGAACGCAAAAATCCAATCTTACTAAGCATGACAGTGATTAGTGACAACATTTTTATTAAACACGAAAGGATATGTCATACAAATAAAATAATGAATACACTCATTAAATGTACAGATTTTGAAAATTTCAATACAAGCAGACAAAATGTTGGTGATCATGTCTTTATTGCCTAGAATCTATTTATCAAACACCTCATGTCTAGGTATGTAGAATCTATGCATCAAACACCTGATGCCTAGGTATGTAGAATCTATGCATCAAACACCTGATGTCTAGGTATGTAGAATCTATGCATCAAACACCTGATGCCTAGGTATGTAGAATCTATGCATCAAACACCTGATGTCTAGGTATGTTGAATCTATGTATCAAACACCTCATGTCTAGGTATTTAGAATCTATGCATCAAACACCTGATGTCTAGGTATGTAGAATCTATGCATCAAACACCTGATATCTAGTTATGTATAATCTATGCATCAAACACCTGATGTCTAGGTATGTAGAATCTATTTATCAAACACCTGGTGGTTAGGTATGTAGAATCTATGCATAAAACACCTGATGTCTAGGTATGTAGAATCTATGTATCAAACACCTGATGTCTCGGTATATAGAATCTATGTATCAAACACCTGATGTCTAGGTATGTAGAATCTATGTATCAAACACCTGGTGTCTAGGTATGTAGAATCTATGCATCAAACACCTGATGTCTAGGTATATAGAATCTATGTATCAAACACCTGATGTCTAGGTATGTAGAATCTATGTATC